TTTATTTGAGAGGATACAAAATCCTAGCTTATGAATCATTTTAATAAATTTTTAAGTCTAAAATCTATATAAAAATTTTAACCAAAGTATGGACTTATGAATCATTTTAATAAATTTTTAAGTCTAAAATCTATATAAAAATTTTAACCAAAGTATGGATCCTACAATTGTTCATGCCTAATCAAAAAATTTTTATATTTAAATAAAAATTTTAAGTCTGACATCAATATTACCATGCTGAAAATCAATAAGAAAAGGCCTTTTACGGTTAATTTAAGCAAAAAAAAATCCAAATGATTAATGACCATTAATTAAGCAATTAATTTAATCAATGGCTTCAATAATATAATAATACAAAGCTGTTAATTTGAAGTGTGACTTAAATTATTATATATAATTATTTAATAATAACTAATAATATATCTAAAAGCATCTATAACATGAATATTATCCTCATTAAGGTATCTTAATTTTGAATCATTCTCAGTGTGGCTAAATGTGATTTGGTTGAATATAAATTAATTTAACTCAAATTAAATTATCTGAATTTAATTTGATTCCAAGTGTCTCTTAATTAAAGGTGACTTAATTTATTTCAATTTGAATTAACTAAATTTAATTTGGTTAAAGTGTAATTTAATCAATTGTCACTTAATTTAATCTCAAATGTGATCAAATGAAACTTAATCAATGGTTACTTAATTTAGTTCAAATTAGAGTGTCTTAATTTAATTTAATTTTTAAGTATAAATAAGCATGAATTAATAAAATGTAACTTAATTTAATTCAACTTAGCTTGCCTAAATTTAATTTGATTCCAAATGTGGCCAATTGTGTGACCAAGTGCAACTTTAACTAATTGTTACTTAATCTCATTCTAATTTGGTTGTCTTAATTTAATTTAGTTCTAAAAATAACTTAATCAATCACTACTTAATTTAATTTCAATTAGGATATGTTACTTTAATTTAATTTTAGGTGTGACTTATTTTAATTCAAATTAGGTTGTCTAATTAATTTGATTCAAGTGTGACCAAGTGTGATTTATTTAATTGTTACTTCATTTAATTTCGATTGGAATGTCTTAATTTAACTTAATTTTTAAATGTGACTTAATAAAGTATACGTTAACTACTTAGATAAAATTAATTTGTCCAATCCATTTGCTCATTCTTTTACTACTTATTCATCATTTTGCCACTACGCCTACAAATATAATTCTTATTTTCGTGTTTGGTAATTAAATTTTCAATACATGTTTAACATACACTTCCTAAATTTTTAATTCATCTAATTTAACAATCTTTATACACACAAATGTAACCAAGTGTAGGTTAAAAAAAAAAGATCAAGTTAAAAGGAAAATTAAATGGTATATGGTTATTTGTGTCTCATAAATCACTAAGACACTTGGACGAATATGATTTGTTAATTGATAAGGTAAAACCAAAATAAATTATCTGCATGTGCATTGATAATCTCATCCATTTAATGCTTTGTCTAGAGTTATTAAATGATGAGAAAAAAATATTTGAAATTTAAATTTTAAATCTCTCCCGCCATGTCAAACCTACAAATTTTAAGTGAGGATGAAATTGACATTTAACATACTAAAGCTGAATAAAAGTGTCATTTTAAGTGCCATGATCCGGGATCACCATGAGCCAAAATCCTTTTGCATATTTTATAATGTTGCAACTTCCTTCTCAACACAAATTACAAACTACTTCTTCTGTTCCATTTTGTTTGCATGGTTTGACAAAACACGCATGTTAAGAATTTAGTCAAGCAAAAGTTAGTTTGCCATTTTTACCCTTCGCTCATTAAGATATTAATAAAAGTCCTTTATTTAATGAACAATCATAAAGATTATCATGTGAAAAATAATTGTTTACATATACTCCCTGTCCCATTTTGTTCAGATGGTTTGACAAAACACGCAATCAAGAATTTAGTCAACAAAATTACTTTTTCATTTTTTACCCTCAACTCATTAAGATGTTAATAAAAATCATTCATTTAATGAATAATTATAAAAGTTATTATGAAAAAAATAATTGTTTACATATCTAAATTTAGAAATCTTACAAACATTTTGAATCATTCATTTAATGAATAATTATAAAAGTTATTATGAAAAAAATAATTGTTTACATATCTAAATTTAGAAATCTTACAAACATTTTGGGATATCTAAAAAACAAATAACAAGCAAACAAAATGAGAAGGAGAGAGTGCAAACTTACAAAACTCATTTGAATTGCTCGTAAAAGATACAAGTATTTATGGCCTAATACATTAATTCACCCTCTAGCTTTGTGATTTTAACACATCCTCAACTTTATGGATGATCTATTAAGCACCTGAACTTTCAAATCCTAGTAACATTGTGCACTTTTCTACTCTAATAATAATATAGCTTTTGAAGAGTTTTAATTTTTATATAAAGAATATTGGTTTGATGTAGAGTTAGCTAATATACTTTTTGGAAAAATAATTTTTATATTATTTAATTATTTGATAAGTGTTTAATTGATATAAATTTTGTAAGTTGAAGTGTTTAATACGTGAAATTTTGTAAGTTGAAGTATTTAATGAGATATAGTAAAGTTGAGAATGTTATAAAATTAAAATATAAAAATTCAAGATGAATTTGAGACCTATTAAATTCAGGATATGACTCTTATAGCCATTAAGGATGATTTGTAATGATAGGTATTTTACTATAGAAGAATTCAAGAGTTAAAATGTATCAATTTTAACTCTTAAATGCCACCTTTATCCTCACCGAATTTTGACAAACATCATCCTAAGTTCCTAACATGTTCTCCAATTAAAAAAAAAAAAAAAATCAAACCCTCAAAAGCTACACCTAACCACCAATTGTAAAAAACACATATTTTGAACTCTATCATAAGGGTTAAGAAATTAATAGCTATTAGCATTAAAATGCTAAGCAATGTTAACAATATTAAGGATTTTGTAAAGTGTTAAACTCTCACAAAATGGGGATTGAGTGAATCGTGAATTGTCCCTTTTTTGGTGGAAATTTGGAGTATATATATTGGAGTAAAAGATAAATTGTGTTTGGATAAGGATTAAAAATCTAATATTATCTATAAGTTAGAGTTTATTTAGGAGTCTAATATCTTTTTATATTATTTTTTAATATATTTCATTATTGTATATTAACAGTAGTCTCCCCATTAATTATTTGGTCATTTTATGTCCAAATGCAGTGTTTATTATTATTTTAATTTATTATACTTTTTCTGCAAGTTTATTATTGTGTTGTTTTGTGAAGATCACCAGTAAAAAACAGCTTCGTTTTGGGGAGAATGAAGTGTTGGTTCGCCAATCGAGGGGTACTTTAAGGGTCGTTTCATTAAATGGGGTGACTCTTCAGTACCTCGCTTGCCTATATAAGGCATTTTCCCTATCTTATTTGTTTTACTCCTCATTTCCTAACCATCAGAGCATCTCCCTTTAGAATTCTCTCGCTCTAACTTATCAAAGTAAGTTTTTATATTTCTGCATTTGTCTCTTTCTTCTTTTCATTGGCTAGGATTGTTCTTTTGATGAAGAGGATGTTCAAGAATCCCTTGATCAGTCCGGTGATGAAAATACTGAAGAGGTAGACTCGGGGGTGGTCGAAGCCAAAGGTAGGAAGGAGAATGTTAAGATTGCTGATGTACCATTCGATATTGACGAAGGCGAGCTATTGGATATATGTTTCATGTATTAACTTTCGCCAGAATACAAACTAATTAGACCTTTGGAGATTATGAGAGTGATTGAGTTGTTGGATGAGGATTCTATCATGATGTATGAGGAAAGTTTTCGATTTGGGGTTCGGCTTCCTTTGTCAAAACCTCTAAAATCATTTTTCAATTATTACAACATCACCATCAGCCAGTTACACCCTAATGATTTGAGGCTCTTGTGTGGCATGGCAGCGTTGGCTCACCAAGATGGACATAATTTGACAACTCGGGTAGTTGAGGAGCTTTAGCACTTCTCTATTCGCCCTAATGAGGATTATTGCTTTCTTCAGGCGAAGAAAAACTGTAATGTCTTTTCTAAGAAATTTAAGATTTCCTCTTTGAAGAATTAGAAATCTAAATATTTTATTGTTGAACGATCAGGAGGGTTCAGAGTGCCGAACCGATGGTCTGGAGGTCCACTTTACCATCTTCCTACCTCGCCCACCCCCTATGTTAAAATATTTGTGGAGTTAATAAAATCTAGGGGACTAAGATCTGTTAACCTGAGGTAGGTGATAGCCGAGGGTTATCCGATCCACTACAAAAAAAATGCCATTTTGCGACCGACAAATCGGTCGCAAAATGGCAAAAATCGGTCGCTATTTATACTTTGCGACCGACAAAAAAAAAAATCGGTCGCTATTTATACTTTGCGGACCGATTTGCGACCGACAAACGTCCGGTCGGCAAAATCAACTGGTCGCAAATGTCCAATTGCCTACCGATTGAGAAAATCGGTCCGCAAATTAGAGGACCGATAATTCGGTTTCGCAAAAAATTGAAAAAGCGTTCGCAATTTGGGGGGATCGTGTTTAATTGGAAATTCGAGTCGCAACTTTTGGTCGCAGAATATCGGTCGCAATTTTTTTAAATCGTTCGCAAATCGGTCTCAATTTTATAAATTTCAAAAATTTTTTTTTTTTGGGTATCAAATCGGTCGCAAATCGTCGCAAAAAATTGAAAAGGGAATAAAAAAATTAAATATTTATTTGGAAACCAAAATTTTTCTACACTGTGAAAGTTGACATAAAAATGCATTATATACACACACGAATTCAAGAACAGTATAAAAATGTAATTTTTATTGTTCTGAACAAATTTAAAAAATGAAAATACAAATGAAAAAAAATAAAAAGTCGGAAATCAAATCTATATATTCTGCTTGGCTCATCTGCAGGATCCGATGTCGGACCGCCGGGAGGAGTACCTGCTGGATGTGATGTAGCGCCAGGAGGGCTAGACCAAGGTATCGTCTGCAGCATCGGGATCAGGAGCCGATAGTGGCTGCTGCTGAGACGTCGAAACATGTCGGTCTGTAGCAGGCGTAGGATCAGAGGGAGAAGTACCAGCACGGTGCTCACCGGACAGCCGTATCACATGCGCTCTAAGCTCTGCAATCTGTCTCTGCTGATCAGCAAGCTGAGCCCGTATATCATCATCACAGTACGAGTCACTGTGCTCCGGCTGTAGAAGCGTGAGCTGCTGAGCCAATGTAAAACTGTGATGCCTGAGACCCGATGCCGTATACCTTCCTCTTCTTCTCTCCCCCTACAGCCTCGAGATAAAGCGCTACCCTCGCCCCCTACAGCCTCGAGATAAAGCGCTACCCTTTGTAATTCTTGACTCGCTTCGGATTTCATCCGGTCTGAGAAGTAACATACGCTCCCCTGAGCTGTAGTATAGTTCTCCTGAAAAATAAAAAATTAATTAATCATGCAATTGCAAGCTTTATTTATATTGAACTTTGTAATCTTCGCCAATGCATTAGAGGGTAAATGTAAATATTATTCATTGTTACTTACATTGACGCTTCAGCGCACGTCTGTCCGACAAAGGTATTACGATCGTCGGGTCCTTCGTGTGGTGTATGTTAAACACCTCCATCGGCTGTGGGCTCGACCCTTTATTCTTTAGCCTGTAATAAAATTTTTATTCCATGATATATTAATATATATAATGTACTTTCATTAAACATCAGGTATTGTAAATGGATAGGTCACTTACTAATAATCGAGCTGTCTCTATAGCAGATATAGATCCGCCTGTGTGTCGCGTAAGGTCCTGCTCCATTTCACCGCCAGTCTCACTGCACCTGTTTTGTGCCAATAAATATCTCCCCGCTTTCTCTTGAATGCAGGATGATCCTCCCAAGCCTTTTGCCAGCTCTCCCATATCTCCTGAGACACGCACTGCTGCTTATTACCGCTTCTTCTCATCCTATAGGTGAAGTCAGCGTATTGATCGGTGCATATCTTCTCCCAGGCTACTTTCAGCATAGCCGTAATGGCCTCGTCCCATATGAAATGTTTCTGCTAAAAAATGAAATATAGCGTTTAAATACTAAGGATGTATCTTGAATTGTAAACATTGAATGATGATATAACTTAAACCAAAGAGTACCTGGAATTCCTCCCAATAAAAGTCTCTCACCTCTTGCGGTACGGCATCCCATGTGCATCCTTCTTTATGCAGCTGTAGCTTGATTATCTTCAAAATTTGCCTCGCTGCTCAAGAAGGTGGATATATGCTGAAAAAAAAACAGAAGTGAAATATAATTACACGAAAGCATCACAGTTACGAATAAGTACAAAATATAATTACAAAATATGCCTGCAGATGCCTACAGAAAATCTGAATAAAGTACTTACTGTCCCGGCTACCAAATGAGGGTGAATACGTGGATCTGATGAAGCTGCAAAATAAAAATGACAATATGTTATACATATCTAGATAATTTAATATATAATTAAAAAATGAAACAGTTATGACATTTATGATTACCTTGCACAGTGGGGTGATGTTGTTGGCAGCTGCTGAGTCTGGTTAATGGTCCCAGAAATGGGGTGGGTAGAAGAGGAAGGAGCAGAAGGCTGTGATGGCGCGGGCAGTTACGGGACCTGAGGCAGAGGATGAAAGCTCCCAGACGTACCTGAAGAAGGATGTGATGGCGGCAGTACCGGTCGCTTGAGCAGATGATGAAGCCCCAGACGTACCTGCACGGAGGACGAACGGGATCGACCCTATCTCGTCCACGGGGCACTGCGTCCAGGTACCACGACCTTCCACGCGAAACCACTGTCGGACGCTTCAGAATCAAACGCTCTGCCTCTAGCCCACTTCTGTTACTGCAAGATATCAAGAAACCTAGATAAAATGAATTTATACATTATATAATGAGAACATGTGCGTATAAAAAACGAGTAAACAAAGTGTAATACCATTTGAAATTCTTCATTATAATATTAATTGCATATACCATTTAATCAAATTTCTAACAGTAAAATTTGCTCATTTTAAGTGTCTTTCAATATCATCTGCTTTCCCTCCTCCTCTTCATCAGGCTTCCTCTTCTTCATATTCGTTCTTCTGAGGTTACCCATTGATGATTTGATCTTCTTCCTCTTCATCATCTGATGCTCCTATTTTTTCAACATAAGATCGGCTTTCATTCATCCCAACCTATCTGTTAAATCTTCAACACTTGCATCGGTTGCGTTTTCAAACCTAACTTCTTTGAAAATGCTCGATTACTTGCGAGTGAAGAAGACTGTTTCGTTTTTCAAGTGCATGAACCAACTGATCTAGTTGATTTTACCACACTGATCCAATCGCATCTATCTCGTTAAACGATGGATATTTGGGACCATAGTACACTTGTGCAGCTTGGCATTGTCAAAACAAAACGGTCATACTTTGTATTATCTTCTCTTTAATTAATATCAACCAGATTTATACTTAGGATGAAACCCTTCGTTTGCCAATTGTTTTGGCTACCTTAGGATCAAACCATTACATTTGAATAAGATTGTGCACTTCATTGTAAGGGCCTTGGAATTCTAAACTCCAAAACCTCAACCAATTTCCCATTAAAAATCGTTTGACCGTCACTTGTAGTTTTTGATCCCTTTATTTGCACACACCGCTTGTTCATTGTCTTTCTGCTTCTCCCATAATAACCCTCATGTGAACTTGTAACCGTTTACAAAGTGCCAGATAGTAAGGCATTTAGACCAACCGGTAATGGCCCCTTTGCCAGATCCGTAATAAATCTTGTTTACGGAAATATCGCTTCCCGAGCTCGAGCCTATGGGAAATAGTAATGACATTGAAGTCAAATTTAATAAATGTTACATTCCGTGTGTTGTACATTTGAAAAGTACTTACCATAATATCTTGAACCCATTTGCAATTCCGTGTTCCAGCTTGCATTTTCAACTGCTAGTATCAGTCAAATTGAGATTTTGAAGCCGCAGAAGATTGATATATTCCCTTATTTTATGAACGAACCATATTAGCATAAGTATTACTTTCAACAACGGCCAACATCAAGTCTTAGAATGTTTACATTATTTTATAACTTACTGTACTATGGGTGGATTCTCTTTCGCAATTTTTAATAAAAATATAGGTTTTTGAGCCGCTTGGTATCTTCTTGCATCAGTCAATCGTCTTTTTTTTGATTTAACAATCGTATGCCCAGGGTTAGGTGAAAATTTAGATTCCTTCAAACTCAGATTGAACGCGATTCTTCCTCCGTCATCGTTTACGTGGCACTCTTCGATGCTTTGGTTGAAAAACATGTTGGTCAAAGTAGTGTGAACAGAATGTGGAAGCTTCTTCCACCAAATATGCATTGCAAATGGATCCCTCGACCTTTGCCTTATTGCGCACATTTTTTTAAATTTTTTGCAGGTGTCTGTCATTGTACAATGCCAATATGTAAGTATAAGTTCAAATAAATGATGTAATCATTAGAATGAGATGTTATTGAGTCACCTCTTAAATGGATACATCCATCGATATTGTACCTGTCCTGCTAAATGACATTCATAGGGCAAATGAATCGGCAGATGTTCCATAGAATCAAAGAAGCCGGGTGGAAAAATTCGCTCCAACTTGCACATCTCCAACTTGCACATCACCAATTGGCGATTTTCTCGCGCTAATTGAAAGCCTTCTCCCTTTGTTACTCTACCAGGTTTTGTACTCTACCAGTCCCTTGACCCCGCCGTTTATCTTGGAAGATTACAAAACTTGCATTCTCTGAATTCCGAGTCAACACCCCAGAATATCATACAATTATTACGACAGTAATCAATCTTTTCTACTGGTAGTCCCAATCCCCGAACTAATTTTTTTGTTCGATAAAAATTATCAACCATTGAATGGCCTTTAGGCAACATTTCCTTTGCTAACTGCACAAAATCATCGTAACACCTTTCTGAGAAATGGTGCTCCGCTTTCATGTGTAGTAATCGTGCAACAACAGACAGAACTGAATGATTCTTGCATCCAGGCCACAGTTCACTGTTATAGCTGCACTTAACATGTCAAACAATTGTTGTGCTGCTACATTTGGCGATTCCTCAATATCATCCCAATGACATTCTACTCTACTCGCATCGATTACCAATACTCTAAAGAGAAGCCCGCATAAGTAATGAGAGGAAGCAGATAATTTTTTTTTCTTTTCCAAATAATATTTTTTGTTTGTTGATTGAGTTGTTTAAATACAGGGCAAAGAATCCTATTCCAACCGAAAAACCAGATGCTTAATAACAATCAGCCAACGTTAGTGAAAGGATAAGTTGAGAGAATTAGATGAGACGAAAGTTCAAAACGGGCTCGATTTCGACACTTCTTGTGATTACATGGACACCTCAACTTATTACCATCCATAAAACTGGGATTACCAACTGCAAACTGTATAAACGCCTCCCATCCTTGCAGGAACTCGTCTTAATATCCCATTGACCTCGAACTTCAAGTACATCCAATCTCGATTATTTTGCATTTTTTTTACCTAATTAACAATGTGTTTATAAAGGTTCGTGTCATGTAATTGCATTAGTCTAAACCATCCTTAAAACATGCACCTAATGTAATGTTCAATTTACAACACTTATAAGTAACTAAGGTTATTTCTATAAAATTATATATAAATGTAAAATCACTAAGTTCATTTATTCAATACAAAGGTTATATAATAATATATAAACCTACTTATATAAAGGTAAGTGTACTATTCCACATATTGAATTTTTTGGAAAAGAATTCGGCAGCATTTCGGCACAACACAATCAAATCTCAAATACAAAGACACTTCAATAAACACCTATAACATATCAACATTCTCCAAAGGCAAAATGGCCACTACTAGGCCTCCAATCCCTCATCATTCATTTAATAAAAACATATTTAAGAATAATAACGCACAAACAAAGTTTGACGTTAGGATAAAAAACTGCCAGCCACTCATTACAATTATCACAAAAAACCCTGATTCAAATTCAATTTCAATTAACCTAAAACGCAAAATTTCCAATTTTAGTGAGGGTTTCTTTTAATTTTAACTTAGGCAAGTAGTGGAGCAAGACATTGTTGATATTACTATAACTAAACAACGCGTATTTATAAAGGCCCATAATTCGTATTTATAAAAGCCCATAATTCTTTGGGCCCTTTAAACCATCGCCTTATTAAATTGGGCCCCAATGAGCCCACCTCTATCTTTTCTTGTTAACTAGCTGTTTAACTTTTTCTTTTTTTATTTAACTTATAATGTTAAAATTATTTTATAAAATATTTTAATTGAAATATATTGAAAGCATTTTCAAACAAGTTGTCGTTATCCATTAGAAACGGTGAAAATTATTAAAAAATAAATTAACAAAACACCACTTTTGTCAATGCAACTGTAACAACAATGACAAGTAAGTTTATTATTGAGAATGACAAATAAATTTTTGTTGTGTTCAACGTATTTTTATCTTATTATTTGACTGTAAGAGATGGTTTAGGACTTAGCGAAATATCTGAAAGTGACATTAATATTAAATAAGAGTTGGTTGCCACATTATTTTCATAATTTAACAATTATTAAAATTAATAATAAAAAAATATTTATCATATGATGTTTAAAATATGCTAATAGAACCCCCAAAATCAATTACTTCCTTCATTCCAGGGTAAACCAATTACGATTGGGGATCTTTTGTTGTTTGTTTATTTACTATAATTTTATATTTCTTAATTAATTAATTTTATTTAAATTATTTTTAAAGGAATTCTTTTTTTAAATGTTATTTTGGAATCTTTTGTACGTATGATTTTTTACCAACTCCATCCCTCTATTATTATATGGTTTATTTCTAATTTCATAGAATTAAAATTATTCATGTATAATTATTGATATAATTATATATATTATTTTTAATAAATTTAAATGAATGCCGATTTAAATTTGTATTTTTAATTTAAATAATTACTTATATGTTCATTAAGTAACAAAAAGATGATATAATATGATCATTATTAAATATGATCATTTTCTTTTGCCAAAATAAATTGAAATATTTCATTATTGTTAAATAAATTATTTTAAATTCAACTGACATAATTATTTAATTTTTTTCATTTTTGAAATTTCTCATATATTTCAATTCAAATCCTTATTAATTTTTTTCTATAATTACAGGACATATATTAAAGATTTAATATATGCCAATTAATCTTAAATGAATGAAATTATATTTTTTTTATTGTTAATCTTATTATTAATAAATCCATTATTTGATTAATGTTTATTTAATTATAATTAAACAGTTCCACAGTACAATAAATAATAAATCGAAAAATATATTAACAATAAAAAAAATTGAAAAATAATAACAGTAACAAATTAACAATTTATTAACCAATATTAATATATTAACAATAATAACAGTAAACAATAATAAATAAATGAAAAAAACACAAAATCGCAAAAAAAAAAATTTTCGAAAAATAATAACAGTAACAACATTAACAATATTAACAATATTAATAATATTACAGTAAAACAGTAACTAATAATAATAAATTGAAAAAACACAAAATCGCAAAAAAAAAAAAAAAATGTGGAAAAAAATAAATGGTCACCGGCTTTTACCTTCAAATGCTGTCAAACGGTGGCGGACGCCGTAGAGGAGTGACTGGGCGCATCCCATGGTGGCGGCGGTTCACAGTGGCTGAGGTCTCAGGAGGGCTGGAGGCCGCGCTGCGGACGGAGGAGAAAGAGAGGAGAGGAGAAGGAGAAGAGAGGAAAGAAGAAAAAAAAGAAAAGAAAAGGAAAAGAAGAGGGCGCGTTTAAAGCCCTAATATTTGCGACCGACTCATCGGTCGCAAATGTCATTTAAATCGGTCGCAAATTTTAATTGTCCGACATCGTTTTAATATGCGCCAAAATTGCGACCGATCTGCGACTGAAATATGCGGTCGCAAAAAATCAGTCGCAATTTTATCTCATTTCGGTCTCAGATTGTGTCCCTTTTTTTTACGCGCCCATTTTTGCGACAGAAACAAAGTTGGTCGCAAAGCGGTCGCAAAATCGGTCGCAAATCCGCAGTAATTCAGTCGCAAACTGAAAGGCAAGGGCCAATCCCGCGCGAGTTTTCCGCGCGCGAGTTTTCCGC